TTTTAATACATGTTCAGGCACAGCACCGAAAATTGTGATAGGCATAGTGTGACCTTCAGAACCAGGGTAAATAATGTAGTGCAAGGGGACTCCCACCACTGTGGCAAGCCTGTGGGACAAAGTGACTTGCCTTTCACCCTTCCCTCTATACTCCAGCAAAGTTGAACTTCCACTACAGACAGCCTCTGTTATTCACAAGTAGGATTTTTTTTACAAGCAGTATTTTCTTACAAACCATATTTTGTACTGTAGAAAGTTTATGGTGTCCAGTCACAGGTTTTCTAATCTGATTCAGCTGAATGGATTGAAAATCTAATACAGCAGATGAAATAGCTACAGTATGTGATTTCCAGGTGTGTTATAGAATTAAACTCTCTTGTTAATTCCTTTGATTTTACTGGTTCACCCATACTCATGACAGTGGATAATGGTCAACTTAGCGAAAAAATATGGAGTGATATTTGAGTAGTATGTCTTTGAGACCTCTTGAAATTGAGGTTTTATGGAGAGAGACAAAATGTGAAGCTAGAAATGAGCATCAGAACTTCCGATCTCTGTCACTGACTTTGGTTACAAGTGAATCGCTTCATGATGCATGTATTCCTATAGCGTCCCTAGCATGTCAAATACTGCCCTAATGAGAAGGTAGTCCTTCTTTAGAAACATCATCTTAAGGCCATTTGTTTTATTCTTCTGTAAAATGAGCTACAAAATTACACATCTAGGCAAAGTTATTTGCATTTCTTTAAAAACACTAGCTGCAAAGGTTTTTCTTTTTATCCTCTTCTTGAGGAAGTGTGCAGCATGCAGCAGAAAGAAGAGAGCAAGTCAAAGCATTTAATAGACTCCCCTAGTTTTTCCCCTCTAGAGGAAACAGTGTTGCTGTCAATCATAGATTTCCTGTTTATTCTCTCCAAACAGTGAGCATGTCATAGGAAACATGGACTGACAGCATGGAGAACAGCAGTCATTTGCCATTCTGTTAGTAAGTCCTCTTCATAAATGTGTTGCCACGGGGCTAGGTCCCAGAATCCCAGTCCTGTTCTTCACAGTTAGTCTCCTTTCAACTCGGCATTGCACAGCTGTAGACTTTTTTGGCTGGATACCACTAGGCTCTAGCTGAAGTTTTCTGTAAACACCATTGCTGGCTTTGTGACAGGCTTGAACAGAGGTGCCCTTTTACTGCTCCTTCTCTTCAGGAAGTCCAGTCAATTAGTCCAAGGCGAAACCATAGATTGCATTTTAGGGTTTTTTTCATCCTTAAAACATTGCCAAATACTGACTCTCTGACCTAAGTCATTTCAGCTGAAATGAGCGTTCTCAAGTCTGGGAACAGTTTGGAAAGACAATATGCTAGGACTTTGGAAGTTATGAATTTAGATGTAAGCTGTAGGAGTACTCTTGTATATAATTTTGTCATAGTCTTTCTGTCACTTGGGTAGCTTGATTTTTCTGAACCTTAACCTGTGACTGGTTTGTATTTGTAAAGAACTGGTTTCTTGGCTGGTCTATCTAATGTTCAGGATCATCTAATGCCAGATCTGTTTTGACACATACCTTACTGTCTTTGAATATTGCTTGCTATGGTGTCCTAATACCAGAAAACTTATGTCATGATATACTGCATTTTCTCTCTTAATTCCCTTGAAGTGTGGTATCAGAACAGCCATCTGATGTGACACACTGGAGTGCTGCTGTGTTTAGAAAGGTTTCAGAATCACAGGTGATACCATCCTCAGATGAATACAATACTGACTCCTTATAATTGATTCTTTTCTTGTTTCTTAAATTTCTAATGCTGTAGAATTTAAAATCAGAGGAGGGGCAGGATCCCACTTGTGTCTGATCTTAGCAAACAGCATTTGATGTTTTGTTACCTCTGTAGAGATGTGTGTTTCAAACCCCACAGCAGCAAATGGGGATGCCATTTTCTGCAAATTCAGAATACAAAACCTGACTTTGATAGTTGAGTTCTTGGGAGCAAAACCAGCTGTCTTAAGGACTAAGAAAACCTGAGGTGCCTTCGGTACGCCTACCATGCCTGCCATGTATATATCTGCAGAGGGGCTAAGAACATAGGGATATTCAGTGGCAAAGTAGACTTCACAATATTCTTTAGGTAACTTTTTTTTCCCCAAAATGTTTCTGGAAGAGCAGAACAGAGCCTGTGAGCTGATAGCTTGCCAGTGTTAAAGTCTCCAGAATCTTAACTGAATAATAACAATGGAAAGAAATAACATCTTTTTTTCTTAATTGGTAGAGTCCAACATCTCTTGAATTAATGTTGCTGAATGAGCGTCAGGTAGCAGCTGTGAATTTTGATGAAAAGAATAGATATATCTCTAAAACCAATATTTTTCTAGTCTCAAAATAGCAAATGGAGTAACTTTTTTCTGTCGGTAACTGTTTTAGTGAGGAAAAATGAGTGTCTTGTGCTACAGAATTTAAAAAAAATTACATTTTTCTTCTTGTATCATTTTAAAACTAAGTTCAGAAAGAACGAGGCATATTCCTTATTGTCTGGGTCTGAGGCTCATCTGGCCTCTTGGATTGCACCTCTCTCCTGGGCCACTAGCTCTGTATGTTTTACTTTCAGCTGACTTGGCTCTGTAGCTCTGTCTCCTAGTTTTCCACTATGTGAAGCCCATCCAAGGAGCAATACTGAGAGGCTTCCCTACCCTTCCTGTTATGGTCTTCTACATTACCCTTCCTTTTATTTTTTTCTACATGATTTTTTTCAGAGATCTAAAATGAAAAAAAAAAAAAAAAAAAAAACAAAAAACAAACCAAACCTGTATTTCCCGGACTTAGATTTTCTGTCTAGCTTGTTGCCTTCCTTTATTTTCTGTGAAGCATGGGAAAACAGAATGTGGCTGACCTTCATCTGCCAAGATTTATCTATTCCAGATAAGTAAATTTGCCAGCATTGCACCTACCAAATGAAGGGAATTGAGTGTCTCCAGCAATTTTGTTTTATTCAGAGCTGGCATCACCAGACACTTTCCAAAATACATTTATTTTAAAACTTTTGTTCTCAAAGCCCAGCAAGTACAGAAGTGGTCTTTAGCCAGATGTCCCCTTCAATGAAGTAAATGTGTATCTGTGTTATAATAAGCTTCATAGCTGAGATTGGCTCATTTAAAGTTCGTGATCGGTATCAACAGGCAATGTGCTTTAGCTCTTTATATAGAAACAACATGGGAGGAAGGTATTCCAGTTACCTTTCTGAGGGCCTCAAGTAGTCACTTGTAGTCATCAGGGTGGAAGAACTCTTGCATCTTAAACATTGGGGTGTTTCCTGCCTCTCCTGTCTACTTGATAGGTCAAGGGCCCTGCTGTCTTGAAAGTCCTTGTAGAAACTTGTTCCTGTGACAGTGGTAAAAGGATTTCATGTGAACGTGGAGCACGGGAAACTGGAAACATCTTGGATTTTGTACTCTGGATTGAATTCCACCTGTACCTTCTCACTTTATAGTCCTCCCTTAAACAATATACTGTGGAAAATTTTGAGCTGGAGAAAGAAGTTGGTTTTTTTCCTCCAGTGTTTTGACATGGTGGAGAAGGGATCTTGGTTTTTCTCTAAAACATATGCCAAGTCCAAAGGCAGTGTGTGTTTCCTGTCTCCAGAGTGCAATATCTCTATGTCGGAAGAATTTCAGAGTTCTAAACAGAGTATGCTGTAGAATTTCAGGTACTCTGTTTCCTCATTTTTTCATTGACTGAAAAAGCTGCATGGTGTGAAGAAGATGGAATGCAATGTCCTATCCTTCCTAAACTAAAAATCTTTAAAATGTCCCTTTCCACCCCAGGAATCTTAGTGCATAGTCATGCTTTCTTTTGTTTTTCCTGTCTAAGCAAGCAGGCATACTATACAATCTTTACCAAATATTGTCATATATTTTTGGATTTTAAGACTTTAAGAAGGAAAATTAAGTATACCTTTCTCTAGTACTTAAGTGTTTTTTTTTGTAGATAACCACACAATTTTGGGTTAACACTGGTTAATAGTATCAGCAAAGAAGTGGCGTCACCATAGTTCCTGTGAGAATTCTGGTGCTACAGAGCTAAACATATTTAAAGAAACAAAAAATCCAGAAGTCCTGAAGCTAGTACTACCATTTATTTTAGTGGTGGTGTATCTTTGTCAGGATGCATCAACAGTGAAAGCAGTGTGTATGTCTAGCCTGAGTTCCTGGTGTATAATGTGGATTCTTTTCATAAAAATATTTACGTCATCCTTTTGTGACAGTGTTGCTCTTCATTAAGTACTTGAGGATTTTATATGTTTTATTTTAAATATAATGTAATGTAAATTAGGAACTAAAAGACTATGCTATCTCCTAAACTTCCGGTAGATTCATCCTTGAGTTTGAGCATAGTTGCTTCTAACTCTTAATATGCTGACCTTGGCTCTCCAGAAGATGGATTCACGGGATAATGTTAATGCTACTATGTTTTTCTTGTTTAATCCTACTTTAAATTTTCAGTCTTTCCTAAAACATTGCAAGAACGCTGTACATCATATTGGGTTAAATATGTAGACCTCATGTTCTTTTTATTACAGAAGTAGCAAATATGTTTAGTTTATATAAAATGTGTAATGTTTACAGTTTACTGTATTTCCATTTTTCCTTTAGCATGAAACTTTTCATGATACAACAGTTTGTTCTTTGTCTCTGCACTCTTTGCCTTCTTTCCTTTTATGCTTCCCGATGTCTCTTAAACTGTCATCTCTTCCTCTGGCTTTCCTATCCTTGTCGTCATTTCTTGTATGCTTTGCTTTCTTCTGTTTTTTTCATTCCATCCCAAGGTATGTACGGACATGGAGGGACTTCCTAAATCTGTCTCTGTCATGTTTCCTTCCATGAACTTCCATTCCTCTCCTAGGTTATCACCACTTACTTCTGGTGCATTTTTGCCTCTAAGGGAGCAAGATTTCAACCCTTCTGTTTCTGTGTTCCCAAAGACGGGATGTTCACTGGCATGTGTTTTCTTTGCAGTGAGACCAAACTTTGAGGAAGGTGGGACAGCAACAACGGGGAGGAAGCATGAGTTTATACGCTCTGAGAGCGAGAACTGGCGCATCTTCAGGGAGGAACAAAATGGGGAGGATGATGATGGAGGCTGGCGACTGGCTGGGTCACGGAGGGATGGTGAGAGGTGGCGCCCTCACAGTCCAGGTGAGAGGGGATCTGGAGAAAAACGCAGCTATGGTTATAGGGAAAGGACAGTGGCTGAATCAGGGCATGGGGAAAGCAGAGGAAAGGGAGGTGGCATAAAGTTTGGGACAAAAATAGGTAAGGTTCATGTTGTTTTGGTCATTAAGTACTGTTTTGGCATACATGGGGCTCTTGGTCACAAAATGATTAGCATAAAATTATGTGCCTTTTGTTTTCTTTTTAATGTCTTCAATACCCTAACATATTTAAGGGAACAATATTTTTCATGTGTGCACTTGTCTGTATTGTGCTCCAGGTGTGTATGTGCCTGGTAAAAATCAGGTTTGTTTTTTTTTTTTTAAATAGTACTATTTCTCTGTGGCTGTGATGCTGAGGGGAGAGAAGTTACCCACATTAGATAGTATATCTAAGGCTGCGGAGTGATGCTGACACTAAACCATTCAGGCTGTTGGCCTCTTTCTAGTTTTCCAAATATGTTTGCAATGCCAAGAAGCATCCTGGGAAAACCTCAAAATATGTTGCTTTATGTGTCTCTTAGTTACATGATGTCTTGTCTCACTAAATTTCAGGCATCTGTTTGGTGTCACTCTTCCCTTCCCTGGCCTGACAAAAGTATGTCTGGTTCACTTGATTTCCAGCATTGCTAGATTTGCAGGAGAAATACAAAGCAGAGCTTGGTATTTGAGTAGTATGGCAGAAACTTTTTTTTTCTTCTACTTGGAACAAATCTTGCTAGTCAGTCCTACTTGTTGTGGGATCTTGGTTTTGGGTATCTTTTGGCTGCAAAAGGCTTCTGGGGAACCAAGGGACGATTGTGGCTCTTCTACTGTTACATCTTCGTAGGGAAGCAAAGGAAGCACGCGACATTTTCGGGCCTGAGGTGGACAACTTCTTTTCTTCAATTAAAAAGTTACACTTGCTCTTACAATGCGTCTATCGCCCTTTTTAACACCCCAAAGGACTTTCAGTACTATAATGGTTGTGAGCAACATTACCTCTGTTCCGTCTCCACAGCTATGTATTACTCTGCCCTCAAACAACTCTTAGCTTGTACTAAAATTTAGCAGTGAGCCCAAGGCTAGATTTATTATCAGATGTTCTCTATTTAGAGCTGGGCTAAGGGGCAAATTTCAAAGAATGTGACTTTTTTTTCCCCAGTGTTTGGTCACGATTGTTCATTAAACACTGCTGCTTTGTTATATAGTTCAGATGACATCAGGCCAGCTATGATTGTACCTCATGATGATCAGATGCAGCATGATACTCAGGAGTGGAGTGTTTTGCAAGTACAAGCCTGCATGCTTTAGCTTAAAAGGAAGCATAGACCTCAAAGTTCATTCATGTCTTGAACTTTTTTGGAAGGTGTTCTGAGGAAGGCTTTGAAAATTCATCTTACTTCCATCATAGGAAATATTACTGCTTATTTGAATTTTTGCTGTAGTAGACAACTAACTTAACTTCACTTACAAGTTAGTTTTAGCAGGTATAAGAAAAAGCCTGTTCTAAGGCTGTGAATCTGCAGAGAAGTTGCTAATTTTGAGATAGACTGAGTTGGCAGCTGTGTTGTACTAGTCTCTCAGCTTTTGGTCAGAGCTGTATTTGAGTTCTCCTGTTAGTAGTAGCCACAGGGCCATCAAAATGGTTTTAATCACATTCTTGCTTTAAACAATGAGTTTAACTCAAATTGTCATGGCTTAAACTGCTTCTTTGTACTTATTCTGCTGTTAGGTAATAGTACTAATCATGTGTCCTGCTAAAAATAGAGAAATGTCTTCAGAGTACTGTCGTCATTTGTTTAGCTGGACCTTCCTTTGACTTGGCTCTGCATACTCCCTACTAGATTGTACACTGCTTGTTTTTTTCCTTTTGGGTGAGAACAGCTTAGAAGAACGTAGCAGTTGTCAGGCTTGAGTTTATCTTCTGCTGTTAAGCAAAGAATACTTTGATTCCCACAGACCATTGCTTTTCCAGCTTTTTAATTCCTCTTGCTCCTTCAGCTGTGTTTACTGCAGGATGGCTGATCTAAATCTGCTCATTTTGTGCATTTTTTTTTAATAGGCACAAAGGATCAAGAGGACAGACTGCTTCTGCTGAAGCAGTCTTGTGCCCATAAGAATAGTTTCCCAGATTCTGTGGTCTGATTTATTGTAACTAAAGTTAACTCCCTTGACATAGTTGAAGGGATCTGTCATGTGTCCACGCTGTGTTTAAACTGTTCTCTATGCCTTATGAATTGAGAGATCTTCTAAGTATTGGTAGTAAAGTGAAAGAAGCAAATTGGTCAGACTTCTCCTTAAAATAGACAAGCCTAATGCTTTTTTTCCTTCTACTACTTAATTCAGAAGGATGTAAACTTGTCTGGTTTTGCAGCATGAAAACTGTCTGGATTGCATCACCAGGCTTTTCCAGTAAGTTTATGGGGTTTTCTGCTTTTTCTACTACTGTCTGTACGCTAGGACTAGAAGTCTGATGAGAAGACATCTTTCCTTGGCTTATACAGTGGAAAAGTTGTTTTCCCAGTTGTTCTGGGTAAATGTGGTACTGCTGCTATTGTAGATGTGCAAATAGGATCTTTAGACTGGGTTAACTATCTGTAAGAAGAATGTGACCATAGCTTTAAATTCACTGGCTGCTTCAAAGTTCTCTTGATTTTTTTTTTTTTTTTTTTAATTTTTTTAGCCATCTTTTTTAATGATTTAATGAGTGCTTACATAAAAGGCTTCTTCTCTCTATTGTTCTGGTTCTTGCATTCATACAGTGATTGCCCTTTAAATTTGCAGAGCAAGTCCGTTTTATCAGATACATATAGAAACCTTTTTTGGTCTCAAAACTAGTGAAAGATGTATAGGTGGTTTTGGTTTTTTTGTTACCAAGTCATCCTTAAGGAATAGGAATCATCTCTTCTTACCTAAAATTTCTCTCTGATATGATTTTGTCTTTGCTTAAGCAGCTCTATTAAGATCTTTTTCCTGAAAAGCATTTTAGAGAGGCCTTAGTCTGTAATCTCATAAAAAGATTTTTTTGGTTGCTGCTTTTTTTGAAAGGCTTTTCAAATTCATCTTGGTTCACTCCATTTTCAGAATCAACTGCTGTGAATCAAGTAGTCTTCTTATTTTTGGGGGGCTTTGTGCTTCTTGGATATCTGAAAGCAGCTAAAGTACATTCGAGAATCTTGCTCTAAAATTGAGCAAAATAAAAAATAGGTTCATATACAATATATGCCAAAAAAGTAATATGTGTACTATTTGTTTGTCTTTTGTTTAGTATTTAGTATTGTTTTAGTATACATTGGAAATGTCTTTTCTGAATTAGAGAATATATTTTAAAAATAGCTATTCATAATTGAGACTAAAGTGTAGTTGGATTTCCTGAAGCACAGTAGTCTTTTCACCTATAATGTCACCCTAAATTGCAATTAGCTTAAAATTATTTCTTTTAACTTGGAATCTTGATCATATACCTGATGCATAATGATACTACGGGACTGAATTTAAAGCTATGTTTGTGTCCTAACCATTGGTTTAAAAAACTTCAGGTAGGAATTTAAGATTTCTCTTTACTTTTGACTTGTTTTAAAGATTGGCAGCCCTGTACTTCACACCTGAATTGCTCACTGTATTCTAACTAGGCTTTTATAAATTTTTATTGCTATTAAGAAAGAAGGGCATGTGTCTGCTCCACTTATCTCTTCTTTTTGTCTGTCCACCTAGCTCTGAAAATGTGTGGGCTATAAAAGGAGGTTGTGTGACTAAATCATTGCAAGCAGACCGTATGATAAACAAAATATCTTTAACTTATTAATTTGAACTTTGAAGATACCTGGAATTAACAAAATGCTTAGAATTCACCTTCAAAAACTATGTTTCTGGGTCCCACTATGAAGAGTGTGTACTCTTACACAGGGTGTAAACTGTGTAAAAATAGTGGAGGCTCTTCTCAGTGCATGGTCTCAAGATGGTCCATTTAGGGCTGTACAGAAAATTCTTAACACCAAATTTTCCTCTTCTATACAAAAGAGAGCTGAAGAAGAGATGCTCAGCTATTTGCGAGCCCCAGGATAGCAAACAGGCAGAGATATTAATCTGTTTATACGATATGGCATTGCCAGGTTCAGGCCATAGCTCTGTTTCCATGTATTGGGAAACCTGACATGGACAATGCTGGCTGTACTGAGGAGATGTCTGCCTGTGGTTTTAATCAGAAACACAGTCTGGTTGTCAGCTACCTCTCACACCTAAACCTCGGAAAAAGCGTTCCGATTCCAAAGGAAGTCCTGGTTTTGATGTGTTGATATTTCTGATGAGGAGGGGGGAAGTAAATCTAACACTGCTTCTGATGACATGTCAGTGGAATTTCAGTGTCAGGCCTTTTTTTTTTTTTTTTTTTTTTTTAGGTAGACTATGTTGTCCTACTTAGTTGCTGATTGCTCCCAGAGATCCAGAGATCCTTTTGTTCTTTTAAAATTGAGCAGCATTTTAATGAGGTGTTCATATGTATGACTTGTTTGAAAAGACCCTTAGAAACCTGCACCTCCTGAGTTTGCACTAAGTTGGAGGCCAGGGTGCTGTGGGCAGAGGTGCACAGGGCATGATGCAGGCGTCCTCTTCTGAAGAGGATGCGTGAAATGGTTACTTCATAGAATCATAGAATACCAGGTTGGAAGGGACCTCAAGGGTCATCTGGTCCAACCTTTCTTGGAAAAAGCACGGTCTAGACAAGATGGCCCAGCACACTGTCCAGCTGAATCTTAAGTGTCCAAAAGTGTACTTGAGCTCTCTGAAGCACTTATTCCGCTAGTGCCTCTTCAGTGAGCGTTTGTCTTTGCTTACATATTTTTTGAGAAGTTATTGATGAACAAGAGGTTGACATAACAGGCTTAAGATGTTAAGAACTACTTTAAGGCAGGCAGAAAAGATGGGATAAGTGCAAGCTTACTGTGCCTTATATCTTTCCTTAATGACTTTAAAAAGATTGCCTCAGAACATTGATTTACAGTTTTGCATACCAAAAATGTTATTTATTTGTTTCCAAGGCATAGCTAGAAGCATAGATGAAGTTATACAGTGGAATTATTTGCAAATAATATCACTATGGTATCAATATCACTATGGTATAGTGAAGGCCTTGTTAAAGTCTAACCTTTTGTGTTTCCTTGATAAAATATAATTTTAACATTCATAGTGTTTCTAGAAGGAGTTTGGTTTACATTTCCTGTATTTGTGAGACAAAGGTGTATTTTTGCATGGTTAATATTAATACTTAGGGTATTAGGGTTGATGTGGAAACATGCCTCATTCATATGAAGCAAATGGAACAGAGGACAACGTTCTCTCTACTGTGATTTTTTGGTAGCCATTTCATAAACAGTGAGACTGCGCTGATTGCACAAATTCTGAGACCAACAAAAGTTGTTTGTTTTGTTTTGTTTTTTTCCTTCAGAAAAGAACACAGTCACCACTCAAAGCACTAAAAACTAAGGTGCTTTCATTTTTGCTTTGCACCTTTCTGGTAGAGATAGCTTCTGTTGGATGGAAACCTGTTTACAATCCTTTCACTCCCAATTTGTTTTCCTTAGCAGCAAGTTCTTTAGAGTTTAAGTAGCATTATTGCAGTCAGAGGATTTTAAGCTTGGCTGAATGAAGATGTCTCCTGAATAGATTAGAAAAAAAAGTGAAATAAAATTTATACTTGAATTTGCAAAGTTTTCCCTCTTTTCTTATTGTCGTTCCAAGTTTTGGTATTCCATGGCTAAAAAAAAAAATACCGTTCAAGAGACTTAACAGTCCTTTCAAAGGTATTTGAACAGTCAGTCCATTTTTCATGTATATGCACAAAAGTGTCTCTGAGAGCAAGAGGAAAAAAGCATGGGTGGTTTGTTTAGGATGTGACTTTTGCAGATTGCCTAAAAGAAAATATAAAATCTTATACCTATAAAGATGCCAAAAAAGATTTAAGTCTGGCTGGCAAATTCAATCAGCATCTAGTGTCACTTGTCTTATTTTGGTGCTCCAGCATGTTTTAGATTATGTAGCCCAGCTTTCTTAGCCTTATGTGTTTTTTTAATGCTCATGATACAATTTATAATGTGGGGATATACAGTGGACAATATTTGAAAGTCTCGGGCTTAATGGTAAGATACTCCTTTTCTTTCCCTTGTCCTTTAAGATGCCTGTTCATAGGTGGATTTTTCCCTGTAGGGGCTTTCGGAATTTCTGTCACTGTTTCTCATCTCTTCACCCACCCCTTCAGCCTTCCAAGTAAGCTACTACCCCCGGGACTGTCTTGTAAAGTTACTTTCCCCCCACCTTAGACGGCCCTCGTTCTGCAGGCTGGCGAGAGCACATGGAGCGACGGCGGAGGTTTGAATTCGATTTCCGGGAACGAGATGATGAACGGGGTTATCGACGAGTACGGTGTGGGAGTGGCAGCATGGATGACGACAGGGACAGTCTTCCCGAGTGGTGCTTAGAAGATGCAGAAGAAGAAATGGGAACATTTGACTCCTCTGGAGCGTTTCTCTCTTTAAAGGTGAAAAGCTGTCTTAAGCCCTTTGTTCACATTGAGCAAATGTCCTGTTATGTCTGGTGGATTATGGATGATTATGTTGACTTTGTAGAAGGTGCAGAAGGAGCCAATCCCTGAGGAACAGGAGATGGACTTCCGACCTGTGGAGGAAGGGGAAGAAAGATCCGACTCTGAAGGGAGCCACAATGAAGAAGCCAAAGATCATGAAAAGACCATCAAGAAAGAGGGGGAGAAAACGGATAGAGTAGTGGCAGGTAAGGGGGACTTCTCATGCATCTGTTCTATGCTGCAGTGTAGAATTTCTATTAATTCAGTTACGTAGAACCATGCAATATTACAGAAGCAGTGGAAGAAGCAGTCCAAACATCTTCACCGGCTGCCAGGTCAGATACCCCACCGAAATCCCAGCCTCCAGACCCGCTGCAGACGAACCTTTTTGAAAGGAAGGAAGAGTCTGTGCCAGAAAGAACAGAAAAACCAGAAGATAAGGAGAATCGAACGGAGAATACACCGCCAGCCAAAATGTCCAACAGAGCGGAAGGTAATAAACTTGATAGATAAATTTAGTAAGTTCCCATTACTTGTTGTGATTAGTCTTGGCCTCTTAAAAGAGGCAAGGACTAGATTATGGTGATGAAAAACCTGAATTCACCAACTGGTCTATAAATACAGGATTTGTTGCATATACCATCTCAAATGCGTGCAGCGCACTGGTACTTCACATTGCAATGCAGTCTTGAGAAACATGAGCTAGTTGTGGATGTGCCTCATTGTGGCAGAGCGGATCAGTCTGGACAAATCTATGTGGCCAGGGAACGGGATATGCTGAAATGTGCTGGGTTCTGCACTGTTAGAACTAAACTGTTTGTTCCTTGAAGTTAGGTTGGGTGCCTGTGCTGTTAACAGTACCAACGTGCAGTCACACATACAGGAAGATCTGAAAATACTTTTGCTGTGGTGCTAATTTTGAGCTGTTGAATGTTTTCTACAGTAAGTTCTTCAGTAGTTTTCATTTATGTTAAAGATAATGAACTGATTTTAACATTTTTCTTTAGATTTGGCTTCTGTTGCTCAACCTTTGCCACAGATTACTGCAGACACAGCTTCTCCTGCTCATCTTTCTCCTCCTGTTTCCAATTCAAATCCTGCTCTGCGGCCAGTTCAGACACCTGTCACAGCTGCTCCAGGCATGGGCAACATTCCTACTGACCCAGATGATGAAGAGGGCCTCAAACACCTAGAGCAGGTAAAACTTCTCAAATTCCTTTGTTGTTGACAATCATGAGACTGGAGGAATGTGGAATGCAAAAAATATTTGAAGCCCATAAAAACAGAAATGTAGCTGAAGCTTTAGACTCCACAATGTATACTGAAAGCTACTTTTCTTCCCTCCATTATTTTTTTGGACAATAATTCAAGCCTATGTAGTATTTTTCTGAATGGGGGTACTATACCCAGTGTTAAAGAGCTAGAGATCCTAGTGCTTGTGACCACTGTCAAGTAGCCTTACCATTTGCCTTGAGAAACCATAAAACAGTATGCCCAGTATGTTTCATGAAAGTTTAGTAATGCTGGGATGTAGAGCGTTTTTCATGCTAGTGCTCCCATACCTGTCGTATTTTTCACCATGATGCTGTGTGGGATCTTCCTGGCAAGTTGTTTTAAAGCTTTACTTAAGCAGGTGAACCATGCTTATTCAGGATTCTGACAAGGTGGTAGACTGAGCTCAGGGTTTGTGGTGCAGTTACACCAGTCCTTGAGTTGCCTGTATTTCCTGGTACACTCTCAAGCATTGGGTAGTACGAGGTGGTTGTATTTGGCACGGTCATTTTCAAATCTTTAAGCACACGTGTAAGTCTTGTATTTCTTGCTGGTTTTGATGTCTCCTGCAGCAAGCAGAGAAAATGGTGGCATACCTGCAGGACAGCGCCCTTGATGATGAAAGACTAGCAGCAAAAATTCAAGAACACAGAGCAAAGGGTTCCTCTATGCCGTTGTTCCATGAAGCCATGCAGAAGTGGTACTACAAAGATCCACAAGGAGAAATTCAGGGTAGGTCTGTGCCCTTTACACTTCCTCTTTTGTTTCACAGAACTGTAAAAGAGTTCGTCGCAAAATTACCGCCAACAGATACTGACGCTTGTTTTTACAAAAGCAGCACAGGGAGTTTACCACTCTAGAATTAGGTTTTGAAAATGGATCCTTCTACCCATCACTGCCCCCATCAGCTCGGCATGCCTAATGTCCAGAATTATACTTTATTGTGGCTAAGGTTTGACATCACTTCATGTTTCTGTAAATTTAGGTTAGACTAAAACCTGTTTTTCATGCCAGTAGTTATTCAGATTTCCAGGCAATAGTGGAAACAAAACAAGAATGTGACCATTCAGTAGCTTGTTGAAGAATCCATGAGAAACATTGAAATCAGCTTTCTAGTCTCAACCCGAACACACTGAGTATTCAGGAAAGGATAATTTGTTTAGAATCTAGAGCAAAGAGAAAAGAAGTTTTCACAAACCAGTGCTCACACATAATCTCAATTTAAATTGTACTTGCAGCCAGTGCATTGTTAGTTCATATAATACCAACTGTTTCATGCTTGCAGTTTTTGCTTAAGAAATCTTTTTTTTTTTTTTTTTGCAATGAAAGTAGGAACAGGCCTTTTGTATAGATACTTGCATCTTTGCTTTCAGAAGGTACTTTTCTTTTGAAGGTCTCAGGGCTCTGTTTTAGCAGCTGCTTAGCTGCTTCCCAAAAATGCAATTAAGCAGTGAGTTCCTTACTTGCTGTACTTCACTAAGTAGTAGTTGCTAACGCTGTTTAGTGTGAATGACTCCCCCAGCTATGAACTCTAGTATGATTTGCGGGGGTGTTATTTGTGGGATCTGTGCCAGTCTCTTGTCTGCAGGTATTTCACATCTTTAGGGTTTTCTTCTCACCCCTTTAAGTTTAAAGGATATTAACCATAAAGTGTTTTTATTTGCTCAGTGTGCTTCAAACTGTATGTTAGTTGCTGCTGGGTGTTTATTGCTCAGTGACAGTCTATCAGTTTTTGATTGGAGTAAGAACTTCCTTGAATGTGACCTCCAGAAATAAACACACCCACGTAACTTTTTCTTGGGATACCTCTTGTGGTTTCATATTCTCTGGGAGGAATTACCTTCTAAAGAGACTTTCACAGAGAAGGCAAGAATTACTGAATATTCTTGCTTTTCAGAAGATATTTTTACGAAAATTGTATTTATGTGGTTCTTACTCTGTTAAATAACCTATTTTTTTTATACTGGCTTTTTCTCCATGTAAAATTAGTATAGGAGTCCTCCTTTGAAGGGAGAGACTGAAATCTTTCTAAGGAAAAAGAGGAAGAGGTGTAGCTTTTTGAGAAAGGAAAAGAGAAACTGGTTTCCTCATTATCTTAAAAAATGGAATCTTCCATTCAGAGGTGGATCTGCTCATCTGCTAAGTTCCAGAAGCAAAACTTCTATAAAACATATCAGTTCCTCTGATTTGAAGGCAAGAGTTGAAACAGGCTAAGATTGTTTAATTATCTGTGCAGTATATGTGGGGAAAGTAGCACTTGTGCTTTTAGCAGTGTCAGCTAGGGGATGCTCCTGAGGTCCAAACTGGAAATTGCAACTGTTGTCAGCCTGATGCTGAGCCTCTGAAGTAGTGAGCTTTGCAGAAGGGCAGGGTGTGTATTAGCTGGACCAAGCTCCACACCACCATGGATGCTTGGCTTTCATCTCAGAGCTGACTCATCTCCCTCCAATGCATGGTAAAAGCAGTCATGCACTTTTCAATAAAGACTATCTGGGGGAATGCTATAGCCACTGTAAAGACCTAGATACGTGCATTGACACTCCAGCCTTGAATGTACTATCTGTCCAGACAACTAGATGAGACGGACAGGAACACTAGGTACTGTGTTACTTTAACAAGCACCATGCTCTTTGTTTCCGGTATGCTTAACTTGGCCTTACTTCCCCTTCCCCGCCATGTGTATTGGTTGGTGTTGTTTCAGGTCCTTTCAGTAATCAGGAGATGGCAGAGTGGTTCCAGGCTGGATACTTCACTATGTCGCTGCTGGTTAAGAGAGCCTGTGATGAGACTTTCCAGCCGCTGGGAGACATCATGAAAATGTGGGGCAGGGTTCCCTTCACACCAGGTCCAGCACCACTTCCACATCTGGTAATTATGCGACAGTTACAGTATTCAAATAGTCCTGTAACAAGTGGAAACTGAATTATTTACGTGTCAGCTGCTCTGTCTTGGAATTGCAATGTTCCAAGCACCAAAGTTGAACCTGTGTCAAAATACCTTTTTAAGAGGAGAAAAGATACTCATTTTTAAAATGTTTGTTTTGCCATGTCTGTGGCTGGAAGGCTTGGTCCTGTGATGACATATAAGTGCTGTGTATTTCACAGTCACCATACTACAGGCTTTGTTTGTAAATGCTGATCTCTGTCTAGGTATTTTTCTATTTTCTTTGTCTTTTCAGTTCAGAATGCAACTTTTACATTGCTTGCATTTGCAATATACTACTACTGTTGTTATATATGTTACTAAAATAGAATGTTTTATTCCTAAACATAGGGCGAGCTGGACCAAGAGCGGCTGACTAGACAACAAGAGTTGGCCCTGATCCAAATGCAGCACCTCCAATATCAGCATCTTTTAATACAGTAAGACTGCCAGTCCCAGAGATCTTCCAGTAGCTGTGTTCTGCTCTGCATTTTTAATCATCTGGGTTCAGCTGCTTGTCATTGTTTCCTTGGGCAATGGGGCTGGGAGTGCTTCACCTCCAACAGCAATAGCCTGCTTCCACAAACACCAGAGGCTCAATAGTCTCTACAGGATTAGGACAGAGTGTGGCTACCTCAGGCACACTTTTCAGAGTCTTTTTCGGTGTCATGCACAGCTACTTTGGTGAGACCTGCTATATAGGTAGCTGTTATGGTCAAACTGAATCCCAGCTATCCTTGTAATGCAGTTCGGATGTTTTGGAGTCAGGGGAAGGCTACATGTCTTTTGAACTGGAGATGGGGAAGGCAGAACTTATTTTTTGGTCTGCTTGCTCAGCTTTTTGAAGATTAGCGGAAGGTATCTGCCGGAAAAAGCAGTTTGTCGTCCATTTTTGCCAGAGTTGTCAGTTGTTCGGTTCTGGCCAGTTCCTAACCATTTGTTTTGTAGGAGCTTGGAGAAAAGAAAGCAATCAGATAGACTACTTGTTCAAGGGGTCCTGAAAGCATGTGCCAAGATTATGATTTTTTTTTTTTCTTGAAAGCATGTGCCATGGTTATGATTTTTTGAAAGCATGTGCCATGATGATGATTTTTGAATACTGATTGTCAGCTTACGATTTGATAAGGCAAGAGCCTGCCCCTGTACTAGAGGATGCTTTGACATACTGGGGAAGAGATTGATTTGTATAGGTGGGCAGTCATCAAAGCCAGATTAATTTGAGCAATTTGTATGTAACTTATAGAAAAAGGGAAGTAGTGTGGCACAGCTTATAAGAGTAACATTGGACAGCAATAACCAGTTGACGTAGTTGAGGGTGAAGAGAAATTTGGTTCTGCTCATGTGGGCCAGTTTTGTTGTATTCTTGTATTTTGATTCTTTCCAAGGTCCCATTCTGTGGTTTCCTCTAGTATTTAGCACATACATTATATAGGTCAGCGGGCATTAGTCCCAGAGAATGAATCTGTGTGCAACTTCTGCAACTTGGGCATTATATAAATAAGCAAGTGAACAAATACCAGTGATTCTCTGCTTCTCTTTTGAAGACAACAATATGCACAGATGCTGGCTCAGCAGCAAAAGGCAGCCCTCTCATCCCAGCAGCAGCAGCAGCTCGCTATTCTCTTGCAACAGTTTCAGGCCCTGAAGATGAGGTAAGTTAGCCCAGACTTGAACTGAATACCATTCTTCCTATACTCCAACTTGTATGTAATGATAATTACAGTCTTGTCAGTGGTCCATCCTATTCAAGTTTGCTTATATTTGAGCATTACGTATTTTAAAGATACTGTGAATATTAAACAGTTGCAGGATGTCGCATACTTCTTTATATATGTAGCCTTCACCTCAAAGAATGTTTTTGAAATCAAGGAGGAAAATCTTGTAGTTGAAATCACCTTTCTGACAGATCTGTTGTGCTGGTAACAGAATGGCTCTACCAGTTGTGTTCTGCCAGTACCAAGGTGCTTGTTCCTCAAACTAGCCTATAAGCAGCAAATGCAAAACTGTAGCAGTAGCTGGCTTAGTCCTTGACTTGGCAGCAGGGATGAGATGAGCAAGAACTCTGCAAGCAAGTAGTATTGTCCACATCATATTTTTGTTTTAAATAGAGGTGTGGAAGGAAAGGAGTATGTTACAAGTTACTGAATCTCATGCGTGTTCAGAGCACTCCTCTCCCTGGAAGTGGCATGTTGACTCTTCCTGTTGGTATTACAGAATATCTGAACAGAACATGATGCCACCTGTTACAAGGTCTGTGTCAGTGCCGGACACTGGCTCAATATGGGAACTTCAGTCAGCTTCACAACCTACAGGTAAGATGCTTAGTGTGTGTCAGATATGTTAAGAAAAGTTCATGGATTAAGAGCTAGCATCTTAGCTAGGGGAAATTATTTCTGCATCAGTAATTTTTTATCTGGTTCAGGCTACTTTGTCTTGCAGTTTAAATTCCATTTGAGAGCTGTGAAGAATATAGTAATTTTTCCTATGGTTACAGGAAGTCTTGATCCAAAGGGACTGAGTGTTATATTATAAAGGTGTTCTGCTCTGATGGGAGGAGTTTGAATAGCTGGTTCTTGTATAGAATTTTGTAGGAAACCCAGCCTTACTTCAGTAATGGGCAAGCCTTGTTCTACAGGAAGATAAAGTGGCCCTCTACTGACTAAGACTAATGTATTGTCATGATTTTAGTTCATAAAATATAGTAACTGCATACACAAGATTTTCCCCTTTCAGTTGTTTTTTGTTGATGTGCTTATTTTTGCTTGTCAATGTTTGTTTTCTTCACTATCTAGTCTGGGAAGGAAGCAGTGTCTGGGATCTCCCCATTGATACTGCAGCTCAGGGACCAGCTCTAGAACAACTTCAGCAGCTCGAGAAGGCCAAAGCTGCAAAGGTCAGAAACTGTTTTGTACTGTAAGAAGTTGGAATTGCTGTTCTGCAATGTAACTGTTTTTCCTGAGCCGATGGAAGACTATTAGCTCTTCAATCTTCAGGCCACTCTGTACAATTTTGATTAGATTTTCATGGAAAACACCATAAAGAGATTATGAATATGGGTTATAGAAACCAGTTATGAAATCCTTGTGGACTGCTGTTTGGAAACCGTTGCTGTGGAGGTATTGGTGATCTCTAAAGTAGTAGTTATATTTTTTACACTTGTGGTTAAAAACTCTTCACTGGCCACCTCTCTTTTAAAATGGGATCATCATGAGCTGTCATGCTAAACACTGAGTAGGAGCAGGTAGTCTTTCTCTTAATCCTTGCATCTTTTCACCAGAATTGGTTTGGGGAATCATAAGAGTCCTGTTTGTCAGGGTTGTTTCACACTTACTCTTGTATTAACTTATTTTTGTAAGTTTGAACCTGTATGATTCTGTACATTTCCTGAAACTGATTATTTTATGAAGACTGCAAAGCAACTCGCTACTAGCTTCTAAAGTCAGAGGTTATTTTAAGGAGCTGATGTAGAAAGACTGACTAGAGAACTGGTGCTTGTTACAGAACAGAAATTGTCAGAAATTGTTCTAGACTACTTCAGGAATCTGACCCCAGTAGGCAGCCAGCTGATAGGTAAAATTACAATTAAGGGAGAGCATCTGTCAGAGGCTTCATCTGTTATGTTGTTACTATAATCTCAGCAGAGTTGCCCTAAGAAATGGTGTAGGAATACGTTACCTGCATCTGAGTATAGTTTTATGTGAATTGTAGCTAGAGCAAGAGAGGAGAGAAGTGGAAATGAGGGCCAAACGAGAGGAAGAGGAGAGGAAAAGGCAGGAGGAGCTTCGGAGGCAACAAGAAGAGCTACTTAGGAGGCAGCAGGAAGATGAGAGGAAACGACGGGAAGAAGAAGAACTGGCCCGCAGGAAGCAAGTGAGTTTCCTCAATGCAGTTCATCTCTAATTAATTTTAATACTTTATAAAACTCACTTTAAGAATCCTGTGGGGTCTAATTAATCTTTGGTAGGTGTGTATGAAGACAGTTCTAATATTTTTCATGTGAGTATATGAAATGATTCGTCTGTTCTTGATTTTAAGTTTAAGAGCCCAAATTGCAATCTGAGAAATGGGCTTTGATGGTTCACTTTCAAGATAGGTTCCTGTTTGTGAGCCAAGAGGCTTTATTCCGTGTGGAATATTCCCTCCCAATTTCTTAGTATCAATATTAGACTTTAGTTAGTTGGCCAGTTATTGTATGTTTAATCTTTATTACCATTTATGCAGTCTAGTGTTTTGATAAGGGTATGTTCTGGAGTAGACTGGAGCTTGAGCAGGTGTTTCAAAGGAATAAAATTTAGAGGGCTATAGTGGAAAAAAAAGTGATGTAACAGCTTATTTTTTCCCTGTTTTTCTTAACTTAGTAAATTTTTTTTTAAGAAACAATTATCTGGGTTATGTTGTAGAGGCGTCAGCTTTATTTTCTTTAATTGATATTTGGGAAAGGAAGGGATGTAGTTTGGAAAAGCAGATTTGTTAAAATGAATAACATGGTATATGTTGCAGTAGGAGAATGAATGTAGGAGTTGTAGTATGTTCTTCATCTTACAAGAACACAAAATGGAGACTTTATTAGCTTGACGTTTCTAGCATTTACTTCTGAATTCTGTATGGAAGAAAGATTAACTGTTCCTTGAGTGTTGTAGGGGAGGGAAAAACAGTGAAAGTTAAAGTTTTCACTCTGCATGGGAAGGATAAGGTCAAGCACATTGTTGAGCTTATTCACTAAGGAGTTTAGTCAATAAATGCTCTGTGAAGTAGCACATGAATAATAGGTGAAAGTAATAAATAATTTTGTCCTTTATAATATTTTCTGTGTGCTTAGGTAGGCAGTTGTAAAGCGCATTTCCTGGTTTAAGGATTTAGACATGTCTGAGGAAGCCTCTAGAATCTTTAGTTTTATTTGTTAGTCATAGACCTCAATTCACTCAGTGTTTGGGTTTTGTCACTGAAGATCTCTTTTAATAGACTGCAGTGTGATATGTAGTAGCTTTCATGGTATCTTTAAGAATCAAGTCTATAAATAAATGGCTCCTTGCTTTAATATATCTACTTTGTGTACAGCAAGTCATGATGGTATACAGTGGAAAAGCATCCTTTGATGCTTGAGTTCAAGCTTTACTCTGTCACTAAAGCAATAATATACTCAAAAGTTTAACTTTGGAGTTAAGTTGCTTTAGATCTGTTTTAATAATAACTAATTTTTCAGCTGATCACCTGGTAACTCAAATGTTTTTCATCCATGATGGCTTCAAATAAATAGACTTGGGTTGTTTCTTTTCAGATTAACAGTTTTGCTACTGTGTATAACTTCTTAGAAATGTCCATTAAATTCCAAAGTGTTTTGTCCACTTTGGATTTGTACGGTAAACGATCTGATTCTCCCTTTCTGAGATGTCATTGCAAATAATTATTTACAAGGAGGAAGTAGAATGGGGTTGACAAAGCAGTAACAGCAAGTATCTTAGTTCATACCAATGGAATAATTGCCACAATGCTTAATTCTGAGCAGTAATGTTTTGAAAAGGTAATAAAAGAGTTTAAGCACTTCTCTGGAAAGAGAAAATAATATTGTATTCTGTATTTAAAAAAAAAAACTGGTCTAATATTTGAATCTGACTTCTGTACTGGAAGGCATTGTAGAATCAGGGATGAACTGATTTATTAGCATGGATTTATACAGAGGAGATGATGCTTAACAAATTTGATTAACTTCTTTTGAGGAGATGACAGTGAGAGCTGAGAGGGGTGAAGCAGTAGACTTAATCTGCCTGGACTTCAGGAAGGCTTTTGATGTAATACTGCATAAAAGACTAGTATATAAGGTTAGTAAATATGCTGTTGATGGTGAATTCTAAATAAAAAAAATAATTAATAGAAATTCAATTCTGTAGGATGAAATGTCGTACCAAATGTTGAATCCAGTTCTGTTCATAGTTTTCATCAATTATTTGCACTGTAGAATTGCAAACAGTAATGCCCAGCTTGTGTAGCTCCTGTGTTTCTTTTCTGTTTCTGGTCTGATATTTTCTATTTTGTAATTATTGATCACTTTGAGGAACAAAATTTGAGGTTGAATAATGAGCTAATAATTGTTTTCTCTGAATTGTATCTTCAGTGCTCCCTTTAAAGTACCTGGTTCTAAGATGAGATCCACAAAATTAAAATATTTGTAAGCCCTAGTAACAAGTAGAATTGCAGGTGTTACTAACTGCAAAAAATTACGTAATATTTTATTTAAGAATCCAGAGTCTACTGAAATGAGGCTTGCTACTTAAGGATTTTCTGCAATATTATAGGTATTTTAAGAGATCTGAAATAAGTTGTCTGTACAGCAAGATATGTGTGCTTGAAAACAATTATGGGAAAAGATGGTAAAGAATATCGGGATTCTCCTGGAGCAGGAAGCCATGAATATGGGAGCAGTAAGAGCCGAAGGAATGAGTCTGTTTCCCATACACATCAGTGGCAGAAAGCTGGAGAGCTTTGAATGTTCTTGGTCACATGCTCAAACAAAAACATTGAGTAATAAGGAGATACGGAAATAAATATTAAGACAACCTTTTCTAGAGCTGTGAAGAGTAGTAAAAAAGAATTACATCAGCCATGTGGTTCCCAACTTTTCATAATCTTGCAGATTTTTTTTTCCTCATGTTGGTACAACACTGTTCATCTTTAGTTCTCTAGGGGAGAGAAGCCCTTTTTTTTTAAAAAAAAAATATTAAGACAACCTTTTCTAGAGCTGTGAAGAGTAGTAAAAAAGAATTACATCAGCCATGTGGTTCCCAACTTTTCATAATCTTGCAGATTTTTTTTTCCTCATGTTGGTACAACACTGTTCATCTTTAGTTCTCTAGGGGAAAGACGCCCTTTTTTTTTTTAAAAAAAAAAAAAAAAAAAAGAAAAATCAAACTGTTATTCAGCAGTGTCTCTCCTGGCATGCCCAAGCAAGAAAGAGATCCCTACAGTTTTATTAATGGCAGTTCTAGCCTCATTTCCCAAAGGGAACATAGGGCAGAGATGTCAATGAACTGCTGTCATACAGGAGGCCTCGGTGACTTTGTTCATCTCTCTCAGGTACTGTGTGTTATGTCAATGACCAGTGCCGAACACCCCCCAGCCTGGCTGGTGGCTAGGCTTCCTGAGCTGAGATCCTGGTGTGTGGTCTCTAGGCAAACAAAACAGACTGGCACACCTCCAGCCTCCTCAGTAGACTTCAGCAAAAGAAACAACATGCAGAAATTTTTCAGCACTTCTGTTGGGGACACTTGATTATTGTGACTTGACTGCATGTGTCCAATTAATTCAGTTACAGGCCCAGGTAACAAAATGATCTAGGTGTTGTGTGTTGTGCTTGAAGCTTTTGTGAATATGACAAGTCAAGGACTTGATTAATGAGAAAATGATTCACAGGCTACTGTTTTATGTCCAGCTGGTGGAAGAAAAACACTTACAGCACTTACGTTTAGCACTAAACCACTTAAGTGATATACAGGAATATGAATCTTGGCTTGCAGCCAGCACCTCTTTAGTGCCATAGGATTGCTTATAAAAAAATGTTCTGTCTACTGACAGTTATATTGTAAACATCCGAAGTTAGCCATTGTCAGAAAGAAACCTGGTCCAGTTGTTCAGTGAACTGTATTGCAGCTTCTCTATGCTGTGTGTATATGAAGGTTTGGTATCAGATTTAGTAAAAGGGTCTCAGGTTTCAGAATTAACTTCCTTGGTTTACCAGAGTTCAAAATTTATGTCCATGCTGCACAATTAGTCTCCCTTCATTCTGTCAATAATGTATTGCTTATAAAAAACTTCAAAGAGTACAATTGCACAGTACTGATTGTTCAAAAGGAAAACATATTTATGAAAGCTTAAAAAAGTTCTTGTCCAAAAAGTAGCATCTTTACGTTAGCCTGGTAGGGTAAGTCAGAAAACGGAGAGAAGAATAGAAGGGATGAAAAGCAGGGTGGCCTCAATACAGTTTCTGGACTTCAGAGATCAGAAAAGGCAGCAAAAACCAAGGTTATTTTATGCAAGGGAAACTCAGAACTGGGGGAAAATTGCACTTTGTGCTCCCGTTTAACAATATACAGGAAGCCAGCTGAAGGTTATGCCCTATTCCTCCAAAAAGTAAATAGCAGAATGGAAAAATTTCTGTTTATGTTTATCTTCAGAGCAGTAGGAAAGGGTGCTGATGTTTTATTTTTGAGTTAAGTAAACAATTTTGCTACTTGGAAAGCAAAACATAATTTATTGGATGCTGTTTCAATATTTAGGGATAGCCCAAAATCAAAGCCCTCAAGAGACCTTTTGTTGCCCGTAATATTTAAATAGTATAGCAATAGCCCAGTCAAAGCCCTTTTATTGAGTTCCACATCTCTGACGCTTCCAAAAGTCATAGTGTCCTTAAGTGCACTGGGCTTCTTCAGCTTATTTCTGGTGTCTGGAGATGTGATTTGAGTTTTGTAGTGCACTTGAGTAGTCAGTGTTTAGAAACTCCTCTAAGTAGGAAAAGCTTCCAACTTATAGCTGACACCCAAAAAAAGGGCAATTAATGATACCCACACATTAATATATATATATATATGTTCAAGTACAGTTAGTACATGTTGGAAAGAGGAGTCTCACCCTTTGTTTTCATTTCAACACCATTCTTTTTAAAACCAAAGATAGGCAATGATGTCATGTGTTTCCTTTTTCATTAAAATAATTCATTTATGTATGAGATGCACATTCCATAAAAATACTTGTTAACATGTGGGTTTGTAGTGTTTAATGTAGTTGTTTTGGTAGTGCTTAGCTTGGAGCTAAATGAGCTTTTCTTGAGGCCATTTATCTGGCCAGACCATGTTGTAGTCTGTGTTCTGATGAGGTTAATCAATAAAACAGCATTTATAGATTGATATTTTCTTCCTGACTCCAGGAGGAAGCCCTGAGGCGACAACGAGAGCAGGAAATTGCACTAAGGCGGCAGCGGGAGGAAGAGGAGCGGCAACAACAGGAGGAAGCACTTAGAAGATTGGAAGAGAGAAGAAGAGAGGAGGAGGAAAGACGGCAGCGAGAGGAGTTAATTCGTAAACAGGTGAAAAACGGCAAAAGGGACCTATTATATTTAATTATGGAGGCTGCCAGATGAAAAAGCTTTGAAACTTGCATCTGTGCCTGAGACACCATCAGTTCTGGTGGAGGAAAGCAAAGCTTGTAGACAGTATCAAGTGAATGAAAAACAGGTTGTTTACCTGTATCCTGATTTCAGATGGAATAATTAGTCCAATCTGCCCTTTGGAAAAGAGATTTGTGTTGAATAAGTGTTTTGCTTCATGTTTGAGCCTTAAGAATGGCTCTGCAGCATGGTATTTCTACTCCTTTCTTCAAAAGAAAGGTAGAGTACAGTACCAGAATAATAATTTGTTTTGAATTGTCACTCTCCGAGCCTTTACTATAGAATTATCTGAGATAACCAGTTTTTCCAGTCTTTCTGTACTATGCCAAGACTATACCCACTATCAAAGTTTCAGCTTTTTTCTTCCCTTTTCTTGTCTTACTATTAATGTTATTTTTATCCCTTGGGGTCAGCTTTAGAAGTCCATATTGGCGAACTTGAGCTTCCAGCCCCCTTAATTGATACTGTCACAGTCCCTAAATCAAACTAATCTTGAAACATGATTGGCTTCCCATTAACTTCCAGGTCTGTTTCAGAATTGCCAGTTAGTATTTAAAATTTCTTTTTCAGGGCCCTTCCTTGTAAGACATTGATCACCATTTCACTTTGTTAGCAGAAGCATCTTTTCCTTTGCAACTCTAGTGTTCACTAACAACAGTAAACATCATCTTTGTCATCTGTTTTCTTCTTCATGTCAATACCTCTTCTCCCTTTATTCCTGTCAAGTTTTATTCCATTGAAAGTATAGCAGTGCTGGACTGTAAGTAGTATAAGCAGGTAGAAGCTCAGACTTGAAAGGTGCACAACTCCTAGAAGGAAAGTGGTGTGAAATTAGCTAGTCTGAACTAGAGAGGTGTCATTCTCTTCCAAGTCCCTTGGTGGAGCAGTGGGAATCTTATAATTTGAGGGGATATAGACTATATAATTGGGCTTTCTTTTCTGAGAAATGTAAGGGTAAGTGAACAACCTAAACAGCACAGATTACAGATATAAAGGCCTCTCTCTGTTCTGTCAGGATCTCAATACCACAGAGTAGAAGTAGTTTAGATTTCCTAAGCCTACTTAGACTTTACTCTTCTTTATGTCCTGGGAAGGAAGAGGAGGCTGCCAAGTGGGCACGTGAAGAGGAGGAAGCTCAACGGCGACTTGAAGAAAGTCGGCTACGCATGGAAGAAGAGGCAGCCAGACAGCGGCTTGAAGAAGAAGAGCGAAAGCGCAAGGAGCTGGAACTCCAGCGCCAGAAAGAGATAATGAGACAGAGGCAGCAGCAGCAGGAGGCTTTACGACGGCTGCAACAACAGCAGCAACAGCAGCAACTTGCACAAATGAAGGTAATGTTTCTACAGTTTAACTTCCTCCTTCAGTTCAGTGTAGTAAGTAAAACCACAGCTGGATTCAGGGTTGTCTAGACTAGCTTGAAAAGAGCAGGGAGGGATGAACTATCTGGAGAGGGAAGAGGGTAAATGGTTGACTTTCAAAGTGATGGGAGAAACAAGAGGACAGTAAGTTGCAAAACACAAAAGAAAAAGGTTCAGTTGATAGAAATGTACTGGAAAGGGATTCACAGATGAGTACAGATGTTTATTCTGCTGCCATGAGCAAAGGCCAGTGCAAAGTTTCTAAAGCCTGGAGTTTCTGAAGTTTTCGAAATCAAAATTGATTGCTATTTTTCAGGCAGTTATGCGTTACCTTATTCTTGGTACACTGTGTCTTTGACAGTATGATACACCAGAAGCCAATTCAAAGAAACATACTGTTTACACTTTGAGTGTACTTTTTAATACTTAATGATACCATTTTATACTTTCCAGTGTTTTCTTAAACTTTAAAGGTGATCTTCCTTTTCCCCTGTGCTGTGGGCTTATACTGATTTTTCACGATTATACTTCAGTGTTCTCTAAAATGTTTTGTAATTCCTAATGATGTGGTTTTTTGGCCCAGCTCCCTTCATCTTCAACATGGGGTCAGCAATCAAATTCAGGAGCTTGCCAATCCCAGACCACACTGTCATTGGCAGAAATCCAAAAGTTAGAAGAAGAACGAGAACGGCAGCTTCGAGAAGAGGTAAATACATTAACAGAGTGTAACTTGTTAGAGTGGACTCAACTCTGTGACTGCTTAACTGTCAATTAAGTGATTAGAAGGAATAGTGAGGATGAGGAATGTTTTCTTGAAATAGGATAACTCGGGTAAAATCCTGTCTTTCAGGCATAGGTTCAATAAGTACTTGTTTGAAGGTTTTCATAGCTGCTTAATACAAATATCTGAGAGGAGGGGAAATTGTACCCTTTTAACCCCAGGAGTATAATATGTTCACAAAAAAATATAAAATTATTTCACATTTATGCTGTAATTTGTTTGCAGATATGCATAAGACCAGGGCATTTTAAGGGGCGGGGGGGCAAGTGGTGGTAGGAGAGAGAGTATTCCTACAAGACCAGCTAAGCATTTGGGGCTGCAATCATAATTAGCCAAACTTATTCTGTCCTAGGCTAATGAGCAATTTTTATTTACTAGTTACTTAATGTCCGCCTTTTTGGAGGAACTGTAACGGCTCAAAAAATAATAGGTCAGCCAGATTCCCCCAGAAGAGAGTGAAATCAGTTTAAAATCAGTTTCCCAGCTAGACTTTGAATAGTAATCGTCTTCTGAGAGTATGGACAAGCACTTTTGTCTTGCATGCAACAGCAAAGGCGTCAGCAGCGCGAACTAATGAAGGCCCTCCAGCAACAGCAGCAGCAACAGCAGCAAAAATTGTCAGGCTGGGGTAATGTCACCAAACCAACAGGCACCACCAAGTCCCTGCTGGAGATACAGCAGGAAGAGGCAAGGCAGATGCAGAAACAGCAGCAACAGCAGCACCAGCAGCCAAACAGAGTCAGAAATACTACGGTATGTACAGTATTTACCTAACTGGTATGTAGAGGGAAAGGGTACGTGACAGTTCTCTATTCATTATGTTCTGTAAGGTATGGTGCAAATAACCAGGATCTCTTTGTTATGTTTCAACAGCACTCTAACCTGCACACCAGCATTGGGAATTCAGTGTGGGGCTCCCTAAACACTAATCCCAGCAACCAGTGGGCATCTGACCTAGTCAGTAGCATCTGGAGTAATGCTGATACCAAAAACTCAAACATGGGTTTCTGGGATGATGCAGTGAAGGAAGTGGGACCTCGTAACTCGACCAATAAAAACAAAAGCAATGCCAGCCTCAGGTAGGAATCGGAGCTTTTTGTAAAGAAAGGCTACCACTCCTGGGATGATCACTTAGAGTTATAACATCTTCCTGTGTTTTCCTTTTTTTTTCTGTGTCACTCAGGATCTGTTTTTACAACAAAAATAGCTAATAGGTGACTATTGACAATTTATTTTGTCATCTACTTGGAAAATTAGTTGGTTCTTAAACAGTGTTTGCATCTTGTAAACTAGTGATCCTTGTAACACTGTACTGTATACTATATTGTTGATAAGTCTGGTAATTTATAATTTATTATATGTTTTCTTTATCTCAGTAAATCTGTAGGTATTACAAGTAGACAAAACAAGAAGGTGGAAGAAGAGGAGAAGCTGTTGAAATTGTTCCAGGGGGTTAATAAAGCCCAGGATGGATTCACCCAGTGGTGTGAACAAATGCTTCATGCACTCAACACAGCCAACAACTTAGATGGTAAGAGGTGGGGAGGAATGTAAGTGAAGTTCTTCATGCTGCAAAGTTGTGGTTCTGTGGGACCCTTGAACCTGAGTGAGGAACCAGTGCTGCCCCAAGAGCCAGGATTACACCTCACACAACTGCAGTACCACAGCTTTTCCCTCCTCTTAGAGGAGAGGAACTAGAAATAACTTGTTGGCCCCATCTGTGATAAAATAACTAGCTGCATCTGGTGCCTGAGGAGAGGCTGAGGCTCTGCAGTGCCGTCGTGGGTCACGCATCCACAGTGAGCTTCCATGCTTCCAAGGGTACTTTGTGCCACAGGTGGCAGCCTGTTGTCCTGGTGTCTTCCTGGTTTGTGATTTGCTTTGCCCTTCTCCATGCTAAAAAATTCAATGCAACAAAGGTATTCTAAAGAAAAAAAGATGATAAATAAGGCTTGCAAGCGAGCTAGCTTTTGAACTTCAGGTGCTTGCAGGTCAGGTCAGCCACTGTGGAGTGTGATCTGTTGTGCTTCAGCCAAAAAGAGACTGATAACAAAAAGATGACAGCTGTGAGGTGAGTATTTTCCATTTGGGCCTGGCATTAAATTTGAGGTTTAAAGCTGGCAGTGGCTAAAGCTGATGGGCTAACATACCCTTAGGACTGTCATTTTATTTTTCCTTCTGATCATATTAGCTGGCTTTCTTATCCTTGCCTTGACTATAGAATAGATGAAGCATTGCATCGTAGGGCTTTACTGTAGGGAACTTAAAAGGGCAAGCTGTTTGCCATGGCTGCTATTACTAGATTAGCAAATATTTGAAACAGAAATCCAAATTTTGTCTTTATTGCATGATTGTGTTCATGCATCAACATGCATTCCCTCATGGTCTGCCTTCTTCTTGCAGTTCCCACGTTTGTTTCTTTCCTGAAGGAAGTGGAGTCTCCCTATGAGGTCCATGATTACATCAGAGCCTATCTTGGAGATACTCCTGAGGCCAAGGAGTTTGCCAAGCAGTTTCTTGAGCGCCGTGCCAAACAGAAAGCCAGTCAGCAGCGGCAACAGCAGCAGCAACAGGTAAACCTTACTCGCTACAGTCCTTAGGAGTGTATAGAGACTATATGTGAGTCTGAAGAGTCTGTATTTCTGCTGGATTGATAGGAGGATGAGCAGGATTTTATAGGTCATGTGAAATGCAGAGAATAAAGCAGATTTCAAATACTTACTGCAGAATCAAGTTTCCTTTATAACTACAGTTGAGGCCAACTGTAGATCAATAGCGTGCTGATCCAGGATATGCTTTAGAAGGATGAGATAGATGTGTTGGATAGGTGTATCAGTGGCTAGTGCTGCCACACATGATGTAGAAAGTGCTTTGGGCTCTCTGAATGTTTTCAGTGTAAATAAACATAATTGCACTTCATAATCTCATACTTACTTTGCTTTCTAGGATTCAGTGTGGGGGATGAACCACAGTTCGTTACATTCGGTCTTTCAGACCAATCAGAGCAACAACCAGCAATCCAATTTTGAGGCTGTGCAGAGTGGGAAGAAAAAGAAGAAACAGAAGATGGTTCGCGCAGATCCCAGCTTGTTAGGTCAGTTTTAATTTTTAGAAATTAGTGTTTAATTTGGGTAGTATTTGAGTGTAGAATTCTTGTTAACCTTAAATGGGAATATTGAATTTGAGCAGAAAAGGTAGTTGTTGAAGCATCTTTAGAATTTGTTTCAGTATTATTATTTAATGATTTAAAAAAATCTGTATCAGTTTCATGGAAAACTTTTGTTGAACTTTCCCTCATGAAAAGGCCTCTTCAAAACCTTGGTTATTACCTAGAAACCTTTAACTAGTTCAGGGATGTCAGTTAAACTATCTTTCCTCTTTTGAGTCAGCCTATGCCCATTTTATTGAATTAATGCTAATTCATTCTTTTAAGAAAAGCACATTTTCTGTTTCTTCAACAGCCTTTTGAGGCTTGCCTTTATTCCTTCCTACCTTTTTACATGAGCTAACCATCCTAGTCAGAAAAGATGTCAAAGATCTTATGAAAAAAAGTGAAAAAGTGGTCACAAGTTTTCAACTGGAGGTAGTGGAGATGATGACATTGTTAGTAGTCCTCTTTTTTTTTTCCTCTATCTTAATTTTTATGTGAGGATGTTAGTTAAACAGCCCCTATAGCATTGATGGAAAGTTTTCTTTAAAGTGGCCTTTAAGATACAAGGGCATCGTGTAAATACATGAGTAGTGAGCATTGTGTGGGATGTAATGCATCACTGTAGTATTCTTGTAGAATAAATGTGTCCACATTGGTGCTGTGTGATAAAAAAGAAACTCTGTGCGTGATAAAAAAGAAACTAGGGCACTACATTGGGCCAGTATTCGTTGTGCTGGTGCTACTTAGCTCATACTTGTATAAAGCAGTCTGGTATTAACCACCTGGAAGTCACTGCTTTTTTTAAGGCTCTTAGAGAGCCCTGCCTTTGTTTTTTATCTTCCCTTTTTGTTCTCAAAAAAACCAATACTCTTCAATTAAATCAACGATTTCTGCATTGAAGTATACTGAACTCTTCAGTGGAATCCTGACTTATGCCACCCCTAGATGCCAGTCCAGTGAGTCTGATCTGTGTGAAGAAATCACTAAATACAATTAAGAAGTTGCAACTGTAAGAGACCTAGCACATGCAGCTTCTTAAAAATCAGTGCACTCTGTTACAAAATCATTCCAAAACCTTTTAGGTAACATACTGCCACGAGAGGGAGCCAGAACAATTTTCTTAAACTTGCTGAGCCGCAGTTTTTATCTGTTGAAGATAATGGCTGTGAAAAGCAGTTTGTTTTCTAGCACAGAACAAGCCTACATAGCAGTCTCAAGACAATGACATGTCAGGTTTGTGTTTAGTAGCCTTACACAGGAAAACTTATCTTTTTCTCGTACTCCATATGGGGTTGCTACAACCATAAAAATGGGATTTCAGAAGAAAAGTTGCATATTATATATTGGATTTTTTCCATGTAGAGAATGTTTTTGCTTTTTCTCACACTTTTCTCATGTGCATCATGTCCTCAGCGCTTACAGTTAAAAGGTTGGGTAGAAGTTTAGGTGCATCTTGAGCCATCTTCATAGCCCTATATAACTTTGTACGTTTTCATGTTGTACTCCTGAGATTAGAAGAATGTAAAAAAGCATGGAAATACATGGAATTGCCGCTAGGTTTCATAGGTACATGTATTTAGACTTTAAAATAAGGGGTAGAATTGCTCACACCCCCTGAGCATGGTTCCACACTTGGGTTGCGAGTTCACAAAATGTGCATTTCTGCCTCTTGGACCATGTAAGTACAGTGCTGGCAGGCACTTCCAAGTACCAGTTGACTCAGATGTGCTCTTTCCAAGATATTGCTGAGCCACATCGCCACTGTGCTTAGATGTGCCTCATACTTGCTCTGCAGATGACATCTTTTAAATGAAAGTTGAAGCCAGTCTTCTGCTGATCTTTTCAAAGACCAAGTGATACTTACCTAAATATACAATTGATTATCTTTGATTTATTAAGGAAAAAAAAACAGTGTGGGTAATTATATCTCTAGCCTACTGAATTTCCCCTGAGCTTTTATTTGATATGTATTATTCACTTTATTTACATGCTACTGCATGTAACAGATGTATTACATCAAATGCAATATACCACATCCAGATTTTTAATACAAGTCCTTTTTGGTTTACAGGGTTTTCAGTGAATGCCTCATCAGAGCGGCTCAATATGGGAGAAATAGAGACTTTGGAAGACTACTGAGCATGTGCAAATCAACTGGCTTTTCCTGCATCTGTTAACCATGGATTCTCCGTTTTGGACACAGTACTCTCCACCATGCGTTCTTCTTCTTCGCCTTGCAGTGAATCACAGAATCAATCATCTCAGGCTGCTTCCTCTAGCTCCAGCAAACCCTTTCTGCCCAGGACTGCACAGGCTTTGTTCCTACCGTCAGCCTAGAGTCAAGTGGACTTTGTTCAGAGTCCTGGGAGGGTGGGAGATAGGATTCGTTCACAACAAGGCTGATTTGGGCAGCAAGCTTTCACTGTGCTGTGATTTCTTCTGCTGACATACCTGGAAAAAAAATCAGTTGGGATTCTGCAAACCATTGCTTCCCTCTCCTGGTTACTCTTACCACATCCAACACGTGCAGTCACGGAGAGAGAGAGAGAGAGAGAGAGAGAGTTTGTGGTTAACAGATGTTGGTCAAAACCACAAAGCCACACACATACTCGCTCCCTCGGGGCAAGGGGAGAGAGAGAGAGAGAGAGAGAGAGAGTTTGTGGTTAACAGATGTTGGTCAAAACCAAAATGCCACACAGATACTGACTTCCGCGCTCCATCAGGGCAAGAGGTGCTCTCCCAAGCTAGGAGTTGCATTCATAAGCTAACCTTAGAACTGGCAACAGCAGGAGAGGGGCGGTGGCGGGCGCAGTTTAGCTTGGGTTGGTTTGAAGTTGCACACCCCCTGCCAGCCCTTCTCAGCACATTATTTTTGGAGGGAAAGCTCGAGTCTGTCTTCATTAGGTGGTGATGCTGAAGCTGGTGGAGTTCCCCGTCGGCATACTCCAGCCTTCCTGGACAAGTGGGGACTTCTACTCTGGGAAAAAAGGGGGGCGGCATCTCTTCTTTCAGGTTGAGTTTATCCCTTAAATGCTACCTTCGGAGGGTTAGGACCAGTTTATTTTGAGCAATTTTCCTGCAAATTTGTCTCGTTTAAGAGACAGTAGGATCTTTACCGTGTGGATCTTTAGTCTTTGGTGAGGGTGAACACTGGCTTTCAGATATATACTCCAGCAGTCTTAGCTAGTTGTCGTTTCAAGCAGTGCTTAGGTTAACGAGCAGAGATGCCCTTTTGTCATGAAGAGAGACTGTGGAGGGCGAAGCTATGTGCAATGATGGCCCTGCTTATCTTCTACACCTTAAACTACTTCACACACCTTCACTGCGATCCATAATGTTTAAGTATTTATGGAATCATAATCTTCCTCTCTCACCGAAAGATTAACACCACCTTCCCTTCTCCACCCACCCACATGCACGCACCACAAAAGAAAGAAAACGAAAACTGCCAAATGCACTTAGTTTCAAGCCCCTGGTCCCATCTCCCGTTCCCAGAGGGTTATAACCTGCCAAGGGAGATACGCTACAGTTCTGGTGGAGTTGTATAAAGGTGTCTGTCTTTCTGTCATCACTGCCTAAAGAAAACAGTTCGAGTTGCTGAAGAGCAGTTTGGCTTTGGATTTTATTTTGTTTGGTTTATTCATTTTTTGGGGTCACCTTCCCCTCCTCCTCCTCTCTCTTCCCCCTGCCCCCAAACATGTACAGTAACTATACAGAGACTGCTGCAGACTTGTATATAGTTTTTGGATCCAATAGCATGGAGAGACTTGGAACTGTTGCAAATCTGGTCTCCCTGTCTCCTTTGCTTTGTAAATTCATAAAAGGGGGAAGAGGGGTAGTTAAAATGTTTACAAAACTTTAAACTCCCTCTGAACTTTTGCCAGTGTGGGGGGGAAAAAGAGAGAACTGAAATAAAACCTGGTTGTATTATATCTGAGAGAAAACTTTCTGCTTGCTTTTGTTGAAGCTGAGTTTTGAGATAATTCCTGGTGCTAAAACTGACCCAAAACTCGACTCTCATCAGTTTTCATCAAGAAACAACAAGCAAATACACAGGATGTGGAACAACAACCGCTGCTTTATTTCTTCCCTGGTGAGGAATACCGGTGGGTTTTTTCTACTTGATAATTTTAGAGTTCAAATAAACACCAGTAAGTTGAGATTGGAAAATTCTGACAAGAAAGCTTTAATTCCCCCCCCCCGCACAGAAACACGTGCATTCACGCTCATGTTGTTTATACAGGAGAGATCAAGCCATGGCTGGTTTTCTGTTACTACAAACACTGGCCCATGAAGCCTTTTTTTTGCCAGTCGGTAACCACCCCACCCTCTCCAATTCCCTTCCCTAAATGAAAGGTTTTATTTCTCCCTTCAGCATAAAGTCCACACGGACACCTTGTAGGCTTCCCTTCTTAGACAAAATCTTATTTTCTTTTTTTTTTCATACTTGCTGCTTGTTTTTGTGTGGAAAATCCCAGTAAAAGTTGATGATAAATGTCCTTCTACATCATCACAAAGAATATGAAGTCAGTAAAGAATGAACTTTTACAGCAGCTTTGCATTATGTTTAGCTGATGTCTTGGAAGGAACAGTACTTTTAGGCTGATAATTTGACTTTATCTTTTTTTTAGTGTATAATGTGTCTGGTTCATAAGTACTTTGTTTTTTAATGGTATGATCTAATTTCTACAAGCTAATTTTGGACTACTCTATACTGCGTAGCAAATAAGCAAAAGCCTGTTATTTTCCAGCTCAGCTGGGGAGCAGGAAAGGAACAATTTGCCGATTGCTAAATGAAAATGCAGAAATGCAAGCAGAGAAAATGTGCAATAATTTGTCGAACCCCGAGGACCTTGTTCTGCTTCTGAGAATTTGTAGATAATGGACGAGTGGGGAAGATCTTGATCTTAATATTTTAATATTCTGGCTTCTGTATTTAGTACAAAGGTAAGATGCTGGCATGTTCAGATTGTATGCTCAGGTGACTGCCCTGTCGCCTTCTGTGACAAACAGGGCCTGTTTCTGTAGCGAAGGTCACTTGGATCAGTAGGGATGGGAAAAGTAGGAGCTACAGCATTGTGTCTGCTGGTGGATATATATTTATGCACTTCCAGTTCCTCTTCTGATAGAACATGAACGTGGAAAGCTAATGGGCTTTAATCCAAGTTTGACAGATGATGTTGAATTTGATGCTAGAGACGTCTGAGGTTTCTTTTGAGCACATTTTACCAGGTTACTTCCTAACTTCTCATTTCGCTGCAGGGACAGTGCTCAGTCCTCTGTTGTTTTTCCTGCTGCCCCTCGCAGCCAGGCACTTCTGCGAAGAACTGCAGCAAGCAGAATGATTTAAAAGGATGCCTGAACTGTATCTGGTTGCCTGTCAGAGAAAGCAAAAAAGCAAAGATATCTCTTAGCAGAAAAATCTGAGTCTGAAATTTAAGACAAAACTACCTGTGTCATATTTTCAGAACATAAAGAACTGACATTGGGGGTGTTTATGTACTTCATTACATCTTTTTCTGAACAGAAACCATGAAGTATTTCATCTTCATATCAGCTTAAAAAAATCCTAATGAAGTTCTTCTGTCCTCTGACAATAAGCTGGAGTGTTCCCCTTTATATACGCTTCATCCTTGCCCAAGTCTATCGGTGCAAATGTGATTTGAAACAAACCTCAGTTTTCTCTGCTGTGAACTTTTCACGAGCCCACTTGGAGGGGAGGGACGGAGCGGCAGAGGGTTGCAGGAGCTAGTGTCTGTGCAGTTCAGATCCCAGGAGGATGCTGGCCTTGCGTGACAAAGGCGACTCTCCTGGAGGATCTACCAGATTTTAACAGGCAGTTCTGCCAGCGGAGACCACACGTGGCTCCTAGTCCACATCTGTAAGTATTACACCCAGAAAACAAGGATGCCACGGAGCTGCTCTGGCTCTGTTTCAGAGCATTTTAGCCTCAAAAGATTGAGGCCCTTGTTCTTACGCTGCGCCCACCCTGGAAAGACCACTGCTGCCCTGCACGCTGAGGAGAGAGCAAAGCCCTTGAGCAGTCCGCTTGGTTTGGGGGTTAGCTGCCCCAATGGCTCCTGTGTTATTTCCCGTGCTGCGGGATGGCCGGCCGGAGGGAAGGCATTCCAGGAGCATCCCCGCGTCCTCTGGGAAGGGCTTGCCAACAACTGCTCGTGTGTGCGCCGGCCTGGCAGGGTGACGGATGCCTAACGGCTCGGCTGCCTATGGGGTTTTAGGCACAACTTTTAGAGGGTGGAGCTGCCTTCAGGAGGAGGTGTGCTCTAGAAGTCAGAGAGAGCGAGTCTCTGCTGGGCTTTGCACTCTCTCTGTCCACTTGCTGTTGTGAAGGAAATTTGGTTTTTTTGACCTGACTGGACAAAGTTTTTATTATACCAGTGAAATTTCCAAGTTGTTTTGTACTTTGAAGAGTTCTAAGAATTGCTGCCGATGCTTTTTCTGAGGGAAGCCATGCCCTACCACAGTGTCCTTCGCCTGGTCCTGCTAATGCTGTGCAGCATCCTGGTCCCTGCTGTGCTGACAGGTAAGGAGCTTTGCTAGCATTTAAAGCCCAAAAGCACGGGACATCTTTTAGTAACCTGCCTCTCCTTGCATACCTCCTCTCCCTCCCCTAAAAATGTCCATAAGTGTCTATTGAATTCTAATTGATTAATGGAAACTAGCTTTGGAATCGGTGGCTGGAGGTGAGTAAGAATATATTCTCCATCCTGAGGCCATGTTTCTGCTGGGGAAAATGGAGAAAATCCTGTGTCATTTCTCCAAAGCTGAACAGCAGTAGCACCTCTGTGAGCATTAGTGACAGTAGATCAGTAGACAGATCAGCCAACAGTAAATGGGGTGCTCGCAGCAGCTGATGGGACACGTTATCTGTCGGCTTTTAATGGTAGGAAGAAGTTAAAATCGTGAGAAGAAATGTTTTTCTCTGGCTAAAGCCTGTGTGCCAATTTCTCGTTCCTTCTATGCTTTCTGCTACAGCAGAGCACTTACCACAGCTGCTCTAAAGTGTCTATGAAAACATTTAGTGTGAGACACCTATTCTGTGAGGCACTATTTTTTAAGGAGGTGGTTAGTACTTTCAGCCTTATCTGCTCCCACTTTCAGCACCGCTCTGAGGCTGAGGGGAGCCGAGGGCACAGTCAGCCTCAAAGGCTGCCTGGTCAGAGATGGGTTGTACAAACGACGGAAAACCGGCTTCCAGACTGACCCCATAGATGGGCTCTGAGCATACGGGTGGAAACGCTTATGGGGAACTGCTTCCCTCAAAGCCTTTTTCTTTAAGTGCAAGTGAGGCTGTGAAGGGATGGCTCAGGCCAAGATAACAGGCAAGAGCACAGCGCTTGTTTTCCTAAATTCTTATCCTGCCTTCCAAGACCTGGAGCAAGGCTGGATCACAGTTCCCTCCCAGTTTGTTCTGAGCATCTTGCCTAGCAGGGAGATCCTGGCCAGCCTTCTAGCAGATGAAATTATTTGTTTTTAAAGGAGCTTTCATATGGGTAGGGGAATTTATTGCTGTGCCTAGCTGGAACATCTGCGGGTGCAAGAACAGAATTACCATAGCTGGTATTTCCCCCACAGATCCTCCCCTTGTAGGACACCTTGCTGGGAAACCTTTAAAGTAACTAAGAAATGAGCACTAAAAAGTAGATGTTCTCCTCAAACCCTGAGCTCTGATTTTTGTATAGTGGAACATTAATCACATAAGCACAGTTTCAGTTTGTAGCTTGCTCATGCTCCCAGAAGCAGTGGCGGTGTTCTTCCCCCAAACCAGGTAAGGTCTTTTCTTAACTGTTACAGTCTGTTTCAGTCTGCAAAAATCGATTCATTTCCAGTGAAACTTTGATCTGCTTCCCTCTCTGAGGTAGGATCTCTTTTACGCTACGTTAAGCTTCCAGCATTTGGTGCGTATTTGCTCTGTCTCCTGCCTTGCCAGCTTTCCCGTGTACTTGCTGTCGGCTCGGCTTGGCTTTGCAGCAGTGGTTTGTACCAAACTGTCGCTGCCTCCCTGTGTCACTTTGCTCCCGTGAAATACCCAAAGTTCACTTGATTCCTTTACTTGAGTTGCACTTGTGCAGCGAGGCCAGTAGCTCTTGAAGAACTTTGAACTATTGAATGCAATATTTGGATCCTGGGGCGTAGGAGAGACTCTGTGCTTTTTCTCAGTCACATTTTAGAGGGGCTTGAGCCGTCTTAAGTTTGTTCTTCTCTGCTACCTCAAAGCCAGGCATCAGGGAACCAGCCTGTATGGTAAGCCATCCCAGGAGCAGAACGATTTTCTGCTGCATTAGGAGTGGAGAGGTACCTATACCCAGTACAGGGGCTTTTGGTGCACAGTGGAATTTTTTCTGCTTTTCACTCCATTAGAAAAGGAAATTTCCTGCCTTGTGCAGACAAAGAAGGGAAGGGCACACAGCCTTCTGGTCTCCGTGCATACGCATGCAGCCCTGCCTTTCTGTAAACAAGTTTATTTAACATTCATCAGAACTGCAACGCTCCACGCTGCTCCACATTCAAGCTCCCGGCGCTCGCACATCACAGGCTGCCCTTTGTGCTCCCTATGAAGGCCTCTTTTCATCCCTGCCCTGGCCCTGTGCCCGCTGTGGCTACCTGGGGCTGGACAGCCCGTTGCTGGCCTCGGAGTTCACCCAGCCCCTGCCCTCCCGTCTCAGCACCTCGTACTTTCCGTAGCAAAGCCCTCCACGGTGAGCAGAAGCGGAGTCTGCTTCAGACGGGGCTGCAGGTGATGCTGGCCATGCGGACCTGAGGTCCAGAATGACTCTTCCCTTCCTCGTTGAATTTAATTTTGTCTCAGCAGTGATTCAGAGCTACCTAGTACAAAAACCCTTGGGTAAGTGCTCAGGAGTTCAGCGAGATATGAAGGATCTCGCTGGCAGCTGAGGTTCCCATCTGGGTGTAGCAATCAGAGTACTTTGGGTGCTGGTGGGGCATGTACCTTGATCTGGCTTCTTGCCCAGCCAGTCTGGATTCCTGGATGGTGTGGTCAGGGCTCTGCGACTGGAGAAAGTGTGAATTTCTCCTCCTAGGTACTGAGCTCTTTCCAATATCCCATTTGTCAGAAATGGGGAAACAATCGAGTCTTTAACCCTCATTGTCCATGTCATCTTGGTGCAACAGGAAACGGAGGCAGTTCAAGAACTTTCGGCACACCTGAATCCTTTCCACTTCCACTTTCTCCAAACCCAAGTGGCACTTGGGCCTAGAGCACAGGACGATTGTGATTGTGAAGTTGATTTTTATTCTTTTCCTATCTGTAAAACCATTTTCAATTCATATAATGGATTTGGAGCTCCAAGTGAAGTGGAAGTTAGTAAAAAGCCTTTGCAAGGCCTTGGCTTCTGAATCCTGTATATATTTGATATCTACACTCTGATGTGGGCTCATGAATTTCCTTGTTTTGAGCTAACGTGGAAGTACATTATACTGCAGTAGCACATCAGAATGCGTACGGGGGGGAAAGCAGCAGAACAGGAGATGTTGCGCTAAAGGAAAATGTACAGGAGACGACCTTGTCCAAGGACATCTTTCTGTGGCAACTCGTGTCTTCATTCTCAACAACAGGAGAATAAAAGATTATTAGGAAGTTTTTAAAGTTCAAGTATTAGAATGTGAGAAGTAGTAAACAGGTTTTGTCAGGCAAATTTTTTCAAAAGATGCGGTTGTTCCAACAGGTCTGTCCAGACTTACAGCAAGTCTTTGTAGACCATTACTCAACCTTGCTCTGCACCAACACCCCTTATAAATTACTGACACTAGTATCGGCTCCCAACTAAGGGTACTGGGTTGGAGGTGGAGAGTGTGCTCCAGAAAGCAGCAGGTAACCTTAACCTTTTCCCCCTCCTTGTAATGGATGTAATATGAAGACACAAAAACTTGTGGAATAAAAGGAATAAAAGCCCCCAGGTTCTGAAAAGGATGTGAGCAGCGGAGTTGGATGCCATTAAGTTGACCTGTGAACTGTTGTGACTGAAGAAACTGGGTGCAATGCTTAAGTTACAGCAGGTGCCCTTGCCTCTTTCCTAGGACCACTGAGCATCTGTGTCCTATTGAGGCACTCATTTCTGTCACTGTAAGCATCAACTTGTCACCCAGTGGAGGAGGAAAGTCTCTTTGTCATCTCCTATTGACAGGTTGTGAGGATGATGAGATGCTGAAACCAGCTTGTGCAAGGAAGAGTATTGGTAACTGGTGGGTGATCTCCAGGGATGAAGATGTTAGGTGGCCACATCTGCCTGCCTTGACGCCTTGCAGACTCTGCCTGTGGGGAGGTTCTGGTTGTTCGGGGGTATCTTGAAGGATCCTTCAGACTTGATCGGCTTCTTCAAGAGCTATTACTTGTGGAGACCTTTCCAGTCTATCAGCCACCGAGTATCTGGGGTATGGGCTACCATGTCACTGTGCTGGCAGCTCACCCCACCTCCTTCTCACTGAGCATGGAAATAGTGGTTTCGTCAAGTTGCCTTTGACGTCATCCCTTCCAGATCTCGCTGAAGTCCTGGTGGGTCCCTGTATCACTCAGAAAACTCATGGTGTGCTTCTTTATAGTGTAGTAACTCTGATATTTTCTTCCCTTTTCCTGGCCTCAGTTGTCACTAACCTGTGCTGGAAAGAGGGAGAATACACAGTGCGGTATAGCTATTTCCCTGAAATAAGGCAGTTTGTAGTGTCAGCATATGGGAAGGAAGAGGTGCTGTCCTCCACCTGGCCGGCTGCAAAACACTGAAATACTTAGTCTGGTTTTTCTGGGTTCCATCTTTGCCCTGTAAAACCCAATAACTAATAAGATTATTCCATGTCTTTTCTCTTAAGTGCTCCCAAGCTGTGTTTTTACCAAGTGCATTTCACTGGCAGTCTGTGGAGCAACAGTTGCCCTCAGTCCGTGCCGCAGTGCTGAGGCAGGGTTAGTGCTGGGGGAGAGCTTGCTTGTGCCATGGGGTCAAGGTTTCTCTCCCTTCAGAGCACCCAGCAGTGAGACACGAAGCCTCGTCAGTGGTGGGGTTACCCATGTGTGTCGGCAGCCTGGGAGCCCCTCTGTGTGCCCACCTGCTGCTCCTGCTAAGTTGCTCCGGGGCAAACCAGCCATGCTAGCGTACCAGGTGGGTTTTCCTAGAGATAGGACCGATCCCAAGACTGATGACAGCACAGCTAATGCATGGTGCTCTCACCCAGATGTTAAACTTCTGGTCTTGTGGTGGGTGCTGTGTTTTGAGCGTGTTTCTTAGTAGTTCTTTATCTCTACAAAGTTCTTGGGTGAACAGGAAAACCATGCGCTACTTTGCCTTTGATATTTGGTTTCCAACCCTCGATTGCATCCCCTCACTTGAGATTGCAATGTGTCTGGGTTTTTTGCACAAGTGAAAAATGCTGTGCCCTGCCCCAAGGCCGTGGAGGGTCCCAGGTCGCTTGCCCTTTCCCTGTGAAAGGCTGCTACCAGGTCTGGAGCTGTCACTCGGAAGCATTCGTTCAGGCACACAGACCACGTCCTCATCGTTGCAGTCAGGATGACAGGACCCGTGCAGGTGGTCAGGCCTGGCTTCTTCCATTGTAGATCATATTTAGAGTCCTGGTCTCCTGCTCATGCACAGAGAAACCGAGCCCAGGAAGGAGAGGGACTTGTGGGGGTCACACAAAACAGCAGCAGCAGAGCAGAGAACTGAACCTCCTGAATCGGGTCTCACACCTGTACTTAGAGCCTGTCCAGTCAGACTGTATCCAGCAGGTGACTGCAAGAGGCCCTCATGTCTCGCTTGGAGACATGAGACCTTATTAATACTGTGTGCGTGTTGGCTTTTGGCATTTAATGCAAGCTCTGTCCTTCCCCCTCACCTTTCTTGCTTTTACCAGAGGACTGAAATAGGAGTATGGCATTTAATGCTGCTCCGTTAGAGATCTGCTGCTCTCAGCCAGCGGCAGCGTGGCTGACGCTCACTGGGACTCTCCGGGTGCTGCAGAGGGGAGCAGGCCTGACTTCTCCGGTTGTTAAAGAAACCCACTGGATGCGTGGGGATAGTCGCATGGCTGGTTGGGCTTCTCAGACGGGCAGGAATGGAGCCATGTGAGGACACAAGCTGTTCAGGAGGGAAAATCAAAGGCGAGTCTTGGAAAGAAAAGCGCTGGTTACGAACAGGCGCTCTCCCAGGCTGCAGCAGTTTGCTCTGGAGAGACCTGCCTGCTGGCAGCTTTCTCTGGGGATGGTGCTTGCATTTGGTTTTGTGTTCCCCCATCCCATGTGCTTGCTGCAGGGCTCTTGGCATCTGCTCTAGCAGCATCGAGGTGCAGGAACCGAAGAGGAGACCCAGCAGTAAGCCCTGGCTCTTAGTGATGTTCAGATGCAGGTATTTCACTTTATGCATGTGCACAACTCTGCTGCTGCTTCTGAGCTGACAGCTCCTGTTAGTGAGGCTCTAGACCTGACTGAAAGGAGTTGTGTTTCCCTTGGTTGAAGTGCCGTTAAGGTAAAACCGCAAGAACTTGGGACAGAAAACGCATGTTGAGCACGCTCTGCCCTTTCTGTGAGGGTGAACTGAAAGCACGTTTCAATCAGATGAGAGGAATTAACAAAATACATATCCAGAAGCCATCCAGGACTCTATCCAGGTCTTAAAAATCACTGAGATCATAAACAAATTAGACCGTTTCCTCTTTACTTGGCTATCAGAAATAAGCTCTGTGCCCTGCTTAAAGAGAGCTGCAATAAATTTTTCAGGAATTAGAGGCACTGGGGACAGGAGAGACTCTCCGGGACCTGTGGGTCTGGTTAGAAAAAGAGCCTTTGCACTACTGTTGGAAGGGGTAGCGCTCCCTCCTTGTCTCTTTGAGAATGGGGAGCTGGGAAGACCCTGTCCAGGTCCTACAGCCTTGCTGGACGGTGCCTGCATCTGTTATAGATCATCTGAGCCTTTCCCCCGGTCAGATGTGAGGGGTACACCCAACTCTTTTGGCTTCAGAGAGAAAAACATTCTTGGGAAATGCAACAGCTATGTCCTCCCAGGGTGGCGTTCGCTTGCCAGATGGGAACGGCTGCAGTGTTGGTGCTGGCCATGGCGGTGTTGACACAATCAGGAAAGTCAGAGCTGGAGCGTAGCTCTTCCGTGTAGAGTTCCTCCACTTGCCAAAGCAGCCTGGAACCGGGGCTTCGTACATTTGGTTACGTAATGTACATTACGTACATTTGGTCTGTGCCTAAACCAACAGCTTCCTGATGCCACCATTGCTAACTAAATAGCCCCATCTCTGCTCGGTTCCTTTCCCTGTTGTTTTAACTACATTTACCCACTAAATTCTGTATTTCCTCCTGATCTGTCCTCTAGTAGCTAAACCACAGGATTTATAGAAGAGAGGTCCCCTGGAAATGGCACATTCTGGAAGAGCCTCCGGATGGGATGTGAGTCTCCAGCTCTGCTGGTTGGTTTTACAGGACAGGTTGGGAAGGGCCCTGCGAAAGGCTTGGGTGTTTTGGGAGAGCCTTGGAGCACAAACCTCTTGTGTGCTCGTACCGGGAACCCGAAATGCCACCTCTGATGCACTGACCACAGATGTACCAAGAATATGGTATTCACTGCTGCTCCCAGCTTCTCCCCAGGGCGGGTCAGCCAGCCAGAGTACGCTGGTGTCGCTGCCTGACTGAACTGGCACAGCCCTCAAACTGGGAGCTTATTTGTGTCTGTCGTTGCTCATCGGTGCAGAGTTAAACCTGGCAGCTGTCTCGCTGAAAATCCTGTAGCTTTTACGGCTGTAGAAAGGACTTTCCAAAGCTAGTCTAGTCTAGAACCTGTTGTGTTCCTGAGTCTGCAGGCAGCCTTGAATAGCTCCGGGGCAGTGGGAGCTCCTCTTTGATGTAAGCCCTGTGGCAAGCCCTAGCAGTGGGTTTGTACAGGCAGCAAAGGTGCGTGTTTTGGTGTTGGCCCTCCTGTTCCTTTTGATGCAGGGCTCCTACGGGAGAACAAAGTGTGGTGGAGCCCATTAGTGCCGATTCTTCAGCGCTCTCCTCCCACAAAGCAACGGCTGCCTGTGGGAGGCAGGGAGGGTTCCAGGTACTCAAAGCTGGGGCTGGCGCTGCCAAGATGTGCTGCTGCCACCTCTGCCGCTGGGGCAGGGAGAGCTCGGGTGGTGCTGGGGCAAGTCTCCGAGTGCCCCTGGCACACCAAGAGACACCATGCCAGAGCCGGGGTGCCTGGGGATGCTCTGCGCCTTGCCCCAGGGAGCCCAGGCTGTTTGCTCCAGCTCCTCTGCCGCCCTTTTTCCCAGCCCAGATAACTGTCGTGTCAGTTCAGGTGGGCTGTGGTACTGGATGCTGTTAGGTTCCGCCCCCCACCCCCGCCCCGCTCTTTTTTTCCCCATCCCAGTGCGACATTCCCAGCGGTTTCGGCAGGGAGCTGTGGAATGTCTCCCGCTCCCGCCGGGGCCCACCTGAACAAGACGGGCATTGATGGGGAGCGCTCAGCTCAGCCACACGCAGACAGGGAGGGCTCTCTGGTTCGGTCCCCGACCCCACAGGGGGAAGAAATAACAGGAGGTGAATGGTAACATCAAACAGGGCCCAGCCCGGCTTTCATCTCCCCAGCGCGGTGTGGAGGTGGGCAGAGGGAAGTCGAGGCTCTGGGGCTCCTGCGTGGGGGAGCCCTGTCCTGCGCAGTGCCAGTGCCTCCAGCATCCTACACCGCGTAGGCTGGTGGTGCAGGACAGAAGGGCCCTGAGATACTGTGCATTTGGCCAGTGCAGGTGGCCTCTGCCTGTTGCAGGAATG